TATTCTAGTTTATATCAGTGTTTGATATGATACTGATCTTGAATTTTTACGCGGCCGATCGAGATTTTCTCGGTAGCTCACCGGTTCAATCCGGGCCTGGTATTGTATAATTTAAAATCAGTAATATCAATGAAATTGACATTTGATATGAGACTTATGAAAGCACCAGAATATTATTTAGTTAATTTATTATATAATTATTATAATATTCGATATTATTCAGTCAGTTCACTTAAAATTATTTTAATAACATCCAATTTCTTTGATGAAAAAGATATTTAATAATACCTAATCAATAATCATAAACAAAAGATATAGTGATGTTCGTGAGACGACGTGAATCAGAGTTCATACCTATTAAATGGGTAATTTTAAAAAATAGCGCTATCGAGATACTGTTACACCCATAGACCTATAAAAGAATATTCTATGGTTACACTGAACCATGGTTCAGGTATATTAAATTCCCTTTGCTTTCAACGATATATCCCGAGGTTAACCGAGAGTGAAAACATCCGAGTTCGGCTTTTTTGAAGGACCTGAGATGTGATTGGATCATCCATTTTGTTGATCAAACTCTGAAGTCACATGTTCGCACTAAGCGAATTTTCTTTGTGTCTTACTTCAGGTTAAGTCCGTGAAAGTGGATTTTTAACCATAAGTTTTTACATTTTTACGTAGAGTTAGCTTAACATAAGTAATTTGTTGCCGACTTACCATTTGCCAACGGTAAATATTTTCAACTCAAAATGAACGCTGAAAAACTGAAAAAACTCAGTGACCAGGTGCGAATAGGCGGTAAAGGYACACCACGACGAAAGAAGAAGGTTGTACACACAACAGCAGCCACAGACGACAAAAAACTCCAAAGTACACTTAAAAAGTTAACAGTTAACACAATACCTGGAATTGAAGAAGTAAATATGATCAAAGACGATGGTACTGTGATACACTTCAACAATCCAAAAGCACAAGCTTCACTGGCAGCAAACACATTTGCTATTACGGGGCATGGTGATACAAAATCAATGTCTGAACTACTGCCTGGCATATTAAATCAGTTGGGTCATGAAGAAATTGGTCAACTAAAGCGTTATGCCAGTGGGTTTGCTAGTAATAATCTCATTAGTAAATCATTAATTGAAGATGATGATGAGGTGCCGGATTTGGTCGGTAACTTTGATGATGCCAGCAAAGAAGAGGTAGTAGCCAAAGGATCGTCAGAAGAAAAGACTGACAGTACTGAGAAAGCTATTGTCGAAGAAAATGCAGAGAGCTCAAAGAAGGAATAATAATTGGTAAACACACATTTATTTTTAAGGTCTTTTTTATGGTTATAAAACATTTTAGTTACTGATTAACTTTTAGAAATGTTTCCTTTAAATTATCATCTACTCAAATTTATAACAATTCAATTAAATAAAGAAAATTAACAAATATTTGTTCATGTTTTCTCTTATTCTGTGAAATGTTTCAATAATTATATTCAAATTAATTTACATGATAAGAACGTCCAAGACAATTAATTAATGAATATATTTTATATTTATTAACTGGGTAATAGTATTTATGTGTTGAAATAAATTAACAGAGTACACAAGTTTCCATTTTGACTTTTCAGTGTGTATTTATGCACAGATGTTCTCACACATATCTTAGTAGCTTGTAGTYTGTTACATGCGAGGTTACATGTAAGCCTTACTATGAAAGTGTAATGTTCACCATCATAGCTAACCCTTGCTGAGACTGTTATGAATATTAACTGTTTTTTTTGGTCGATTTTATTAGTAAAATCTTAAATCAGCTAAGTTTGTAGTGACATTGTATTTAAATTAAAAATGAGATTGTTTAAACCTAAATGAATTTAATTTAATTTGATTACCAAATTCATGTGCTAAAAATGATAGGTAGTAAGACTTATAAATTAACTTGCCAATTGTTAACTAAAATATTAAARGAAAACGATACCTTCTTATATTAACTACATTAAAAATCACTTGTAATAATACACCTATAAGGCTTCAAATTATAATTGATAGTATTCGGTTAAATTTATCGTCTTATAAATAAGAACTGGAGATAGTAGATGTTTACTTCATGATGTATTTCATTACTTATTTATATAAGAGGATTATTTGGATTATATCCAACGTACTTTGGATTCATTTTGTATTTTTATCCTTATATAAACCTTATGTTCCTACTATCCAWCCACAATTTATTTAAAAGGTACTTGTGATGTGCATACAACAATATATTAACTTGTATAAAAAGTTAAACTTAGTAACAATTCTTCCATCAAATTATTTTTTTTTTTTAGTTATAATATCTATTATTTTATATTTCAGGATTGATGGTGACTAAAACAACAACTCATATTGAGAACATTAATAATTTGCAGTAGTGACCATATTCAATCATAACTATAATAAAATTAAAACAAACAAATAATAGCATTTGATTCTGAAAACTGTAAATTTTAAAATTCATAAATACTTCTTTCTCTTGTAAATCACTTTATATTTTGTTCGATGTACTTTTTGCTAAGTATAAATAAAATATACTATTATTACCTAAAATTTGTTTGATTTAACATGTTTATTTTTCTATTGTGTTAATGTGGAAAACTCATATTTTTCATTTGACAGGCACTGGCGCTTTGATTAATGTTAACTGTACAAAATAAATAATATAAAATAGTGTATACAAATAATTATTTGTTTTACATCTAATGATTTAATTAAGCCCACTACCGTCCTCTAAAAGTATTTCTTTCTAAAAATAAATTCACATCTTTAAAAACTAAACTTCTAATATACATAACCACTACTGAAACCCATATGGACCAATAGCATACTTAGAGGGGGCGTAGGAGGTGCATAGCACCAGGGCCTTTTAGCTGTATTTTATAAATGGAGTCCTTAAGCCCCTAATCGGTCTAATCAACAAGTAGCAACTGAAACTTTATATGGGGCCCAAAAAATTAGGTGCACTCCTGTGCTTAAATACACCACTGATATGGACGTATGGTATCCAACTTTGGGG